TTTGAATGGAAGTGTGTACATATAAATATATATCATGACTTCAGAAGAATCAAACAAAATTTAGATTTTAATTTGAAACATTATCATAGTTTTTTTTTTCTCTCCTCAGTAGTAAAGCATCATGGGTGGGCAGGTGTCCATTGACGAGACTGTTCATGTGGTGATTGTCGGTGGTGGTTTTGGTGGCATTGCAGCTGCTCAACACCTTAAACGTCACGGGGTGCCCTTCATGCTTATTGACATCCTGGATGCGTTTCATCACAACGTTGCAGCGCTGCGTGCCTCAGTTCAACCTGGTATGCAAAAATCAGAGTCTGAATGCAAGAAAACAAACAGCAAGATTAATACAATAATGCGGTTTATTTTTTTGTATGTTATTGTAGGTTTTGCGAAGCAGACTTTCATACCATACAAAGAGACATTTGGAGTGAATTTCCTCCAAGGCCGTGTCATACGTATAGACACCGAAACGCAGACAGTTGTGCTTGACAATGGAAAGGTAAGTGATATTGCAATGTTACAGCAGACGAAAACAAAGTTTGAGAAAATGTCTTTATACAGTATGTGCCAATATAAATCCACAGGAAGTACGGTATTCACACCTCATTCTGTGCACTGGAACAAGCGGAGATTTCCCAGGCAAACACAATTCTGTGGACTCCTACCAATTAGCCATTCAGAAATATGAGGACTTTGTCAAATTGGTGAGTTTTCTTATCGGGCATGTTAATATATGTGATATAATCTTAAATGGCATTACAGACTAAATTGTGAAAAAGCTTTTTATTTATTTGCATTTTCTTACAATATTACAGATCCAGTCAACAAACACAGTTGTTGTTGTTGGTGGCGGAACCACCGGTATTGAAATGGCTGCTGAGATCAGGACAGAATTTCCTGACAAGAAAGTAGAGCTTTGACTTCTCACCCAAATAGACTTTGCAATCTTATTCTGAAGCACGAGCTTATAGTGCCCCTATTATGCTATTTTAAAGGTTCCTGCATTTTTTGGAGGTCTCCTACAATAGGTCAAAAAACACTTTAATTTTCTTATAATGTAGTTTGCACATCGCCTCATTTCTCAAAGAGTCTAAAAACTGTTTGTTTAAAGATTCAGTCTCTCTAAACCCCTTCTTTCCGAGAGCCTACTCTGCTCTGATTGGTAAGATGGCCCAGTCTAATCTAATGTAATGTGATTGGTCTATAGCTTACAACGCGTGATGGAAACAAAACGCCCATTACCATATCTGAATTTCAGCTCTGGAACTTCCTCAGCGCTTGATACACAGTGATACGAACAGTAACGATGGCGTCGATTTCTTTCCGTATCAATTCCAGTGCGAGTCCTCATCCTTTTGAAGTGTATGCAAAGTAGATTTCCTCTCGTAGCCCTGAAAATAGCATCTTGACTTATCGACAACACAAACCAAACTCTTCCAGTCTGACGACTCATTTCAGCAATTGATTCTTTTAGGAGACAACTTTATTTGTCGCTTTATTTTCACTTTGATCTTTAAAACTCTGCAGGCCTTTTACATTCACAAACAGCTATATTACACACTGCATGAACGGTTATATTCGAAAAAGCCTAATAGGGGCACTTTAAACGTGTTTTGTGTTATATAATGATAACCGTCTTCTATCACGCATATTTCATCTAGGTGATTCTGATTCACTCGCGTGAGGAGGTGGCTGATCCTGAACTATTGCCTAGTGTGAAGGAACAGGCCAAGCAGGTGCTGCTGGAAAAAGGGGTGGAGCTGTTGCTAGGTAATTATCTCACATGACATGGTTGCTTAGCATCTGCCTGATGTGGGCTATCACATGTCTATTTTTCTTCTGAGTGAAATACAGTGCAAAATATGAATGGAGAGACCCAGTGTTGACACAGATATTGATGGGATTTGACTTTAATAAAATGTTTGGTAACACTTTAGTTTAGGGTCCAATTATAACTATTAACTAGTTGCTTATAAGCATGCATATTACTAGGGTATTGGCTGTTTATTAGTACTTATAAATCACACATTAATGCCTTATTCTGCATGACCATATTCTACACCCCAATGCCTAAACTTAACAACTACCTTACTTGCAATCAATAAGCCGTAATAAGGAGTTTATTGATGCAAAAGTCGCAGGTAATTGTTCGTTAATAGTCAGAATTGGACTCTAATCTGAAGTGTGACCAAATGTTTTTTCTTGACATTTATTTGCATCCATTGTCAGAGCGAAATTCCGTTAACTCGATGGAAACCGACTGACTCACACTTGACACTTGCTGCTTTTCAAAACATAAGCAACACAAAACACTGGCTAATATTAGCCTGCTTTCAGCATGATTGTTATTATTTGGCAAATGCACTCGATTGTGAATAACACTATTCTACTTCAGTATTCATATATTACTGTAATAATACCGTTATGGGTTTTTTTCTTAGGAAAAGCTTTAAGATAATAGACAGGTAAGATTATAAAATAATTTCAACTCAAATCAATATTTCATGTCCACCTATTAATTTATTTCACAAGTAGCCATGTAATAAGGCTGGACCTGGGGCGGAGGGGACTGTTATCACCCTGAAGGTGTTTATTGTATATTGTCTGGGTTTCTGTGGGTCTTTATTCGCCCTTAAATTAAAGGGATAGTTCACCTGAAAATGAAAATTCTGTCATAATTTACTCACCCTCAAGTTGTTCCAAACCTGTATGAGTTTCTTTCTTCTGCTGAACACAAAAAAAGATATTTTGAAGAATATGGGTAACCAAAAAGTTGATGGCCCCCATTGACTTAGTATGCATTGACTTCCATTAGTATGGAGGAAAAAATACTATGGAAGTCAAAGGAGCCCATTAAATGTTTGGTTACAGACTTTCTTCAAAATATCTTCTTTTGTGTTCAGCAGAAGAAAGAAACTCGTACAGGTTTGGAACAACTTGTGGGCGAGTAAACGATGACCCGAATTTTCATTTTTGGACGAACAAACCCTTTAAGGCCTTAATGTCTTACATCAGAATATTGCATGGCATTAAATGTTGCATGTATTGCAAAACATTGATATCTTTCTCAGTATTTGTGTCCTGTTTTCCAATACAAATATCTTTAACCCTCATGTGGTGTTCAAAACCCTATAACACCTGTGGTGTTCCCGGTCAAAAATGACCGGGCCATAAAAAAAACCTTATAAATCACTCATTATACCATATTTTCACCCAATCTTGGATTCAATCTTTTTGTCAACATGTTCTCTTTCAATTAGGACTGGTTTTATATTTTGATTTGCATCTGAATAATCATAGGCCTCATTTATTTGAGAGTAGGCATTTCATTTTTTGAGTAATTTTTTTAATTTTTTTTAATAATTTTGGAAATATTAAATAAAATCTGAAGAAAATTGGTATTGTTGATCACACTAGTCAACTTAACATTTTCACCAGGAATTTTGTTTTGAAACTTTTGTTTTGTAAAAAATATGGCACATAGTCACACTTGTGGTGTTCCCGGTCAAAAATGACCGGCCTATAAAAAATAGCTTTTAAGTCACTCATTATACCATATTTTCACCCAATCTTTGATTCAATCTTTTTGTCAACTTGTTCTCTTTCAATTAGGACTGGTTTTATATTTCTGTTTGCATCTGATTAATCGCGGGCCTCATTTGTCTGAGAGTAGGCATCTCATTTTTTGAGTAAAAAACAAATAATTTATGAGTAAATTTGGAAATATGAAAAAAAAAAAATGAAAAAAGTGGCTGCTGTTGATCACACTTGTCTACTCTAATGTTTCACCAGGAATTTTGTTTTGAAACTTTTGTTTTGTAAAAAATATGGCACATAGTCACACTTGTGGTGTTCCCGGTCAAAAATGACCGGCCTATAAAAAATAGCTTATAAATCATTCATTATACCATATTTTCACCCAATCTTGGATTCAATCTTTTTTACAACTTGTTCTCTTTCAATTAGGACTGGTTTTATATTTCTGTTTGCATCTGATTAATCGTGGGCCTCATTTATCTGAGAGTGGGCATCTAATTTTTTGAGTAAAAAACAAATAATTTATGAGTAAATTTGGAAATATGAAAGAAAAATATGAAAAAAATGGCTACTGTTAATCACACTAGTCTACTCTAATGTTTCACCAGGAATTTTGTTTTAAAACTTTTGTTTTGTAAAAAATATGGCACATAGTCACACTTGTGGTGTTCCCGGTCAAAAATGACCGGCCTATAAAAAATAGCTTATAAGTCACTCATTATACCATATTTTCACCCAATCTTGGATTCAATCTTTTTGTCAACTTGTTCTCTTTCAATTAGGACTGGTTTTATATTTCTGTTTGCATCTGATTAATCGTGGGCCTCATTTATCTGAGAGTAGGCATGGTCAAAAATGGTCACAATGGCCGACCATTGAAAGTGAATGGGAGAGACTGAAAATAACAGAACAATTTAGTTTTCAGGAGCATGTTCATTATTTTCATGTACACATATGAGCATGTGTGCTTGCAAACATTGAGCCCTTGGACCTGTGCATGTATCGATACATTTATACACACGCTACCCAGACACACACACGTTAAAACACACAAACTTTTTTGAGTATTACACACATTCTTTTCCACAGAGAGAAATTTGATCCTACCCTAACCTGCATCTAATAAACATTTATCCATCTGACATTACCACACACACACACACACACACACACACACACACACACAAACTGGCCGTGACTGCAGTGACCCGGCTTCAAAAGAATCTTTCTTTCATGGTCTTGTTTCATCACAGCTTCCAGACAAAATATTATGACATTTTGTTTTGGAACTGTGAGGTTCTCACACAGAACTAGACAATATTTACAAATATACATCATGTGATAGCACAGGCATATATAAAATGCCTCACAGCACCTTGCTTGTCATTCATTTGTGGCAGCACAATGGCAAAACAGCTCTGCACATGATGTTATTCATCAGATTTTTGACTCAGAAACTAGTGAGGAGGAGGACATGCAGGATGCATCTTGCAGTGAAGATGTTTCTGAAGAGGAAGGCCTTCAGAAGAAAACCTGCCTTGCCTCATAGGTGGGGATGAAGGCCAGGACAAAGTTCCATCTTTTGACCAGAATGAAACGGTAACCTCAGCTGGGCCCTCATCACTGGAAGACTGCTCCTCATCAGTTGTTTCAAGCTCCGTAGCCGATTCAGTGGTGCCTTCCTCTTCAGAAACATCTTCACTGCAAGATGCATCCTGAATTTCCTCCTCCTCACTAGTTTCTGAGTCAAAAATCTGATCACGGCCTGTGTGTGTGTGTGTGTGGTAATGTCAGATGGATAAATGTATATTAGATGCAGGTTAGGGTAGGATCAAATTTCTCTCTGTGGAAAAGAATGTGTGTAATATTAAAAAAAGTTTGTGTGTTTTTTAACATGTGTGTGTCTGGGTAGCGTGTGTATAAATGTATCGATACATGCACAGGTCCAAGGGCTCGATGTTTGCAAGCACACATGCTCAAATGTGTACATGAAAATAATGAACATGCTCCTGAAAACTAAATTGTTCTGTTATTTTCAGTCTCTCCCATTCACTTTCAATGGTCGGCCATTGTGACCATTTTTGACCATGCCTACTCTCAGATGAATGAGGCCCACGATTAATCAGATGCAAACAGAAACATAAAACCAGTCCTAATTGAAAGAGAACAAGTTGCCAAAAAGATTGAATCCAAGATTGGGTGAAAATATGGTATAATGAGTGACTTATAAGCTATTTTTTATAGGCCGGTCATTTTTGACCGGGAACACCACAAGTGTGACTATGTGCCATATTTTTTACAAAACAAAAGTTTCAAAACAAAATTCCTGGTGAAACATTAGAGTAGACAAGTGTGATCAACAGTAGCCATTATTTTTTTTATTTTTTTTTCATATTTCCAAATTTACTCATAAATTATTTGTTTTTTACTCAGAAAATGAGATGCCTACTCTCAGACAAATGAGGCCCACAATTAATCAGATGCAAACAGAAATATAAAACCAGTCCTAATTGAAAGAGAACAAGTTGACAAAAAGATTGAATCAAAGATTGGGTGAAAATATGGTATAATGAGTGACTTATAAGCTATTTTTTATAGGCCGGTCATTTTTGACCGGGAACACCACAAGTGTGACTATGTGCCATATTTTTTACAAAACAAAAGTTTCAAAACAAAATTCCTGGTGAAAATGTTAAGTTGACTAGTGTGATCAACAATACCAATTTTCTTCAGATTTTATTTAATATTTCCAAAATTATTCAAAAATTTAAAAAAAAATTACTCAAAAAATGAAATGCCTACTCTCAAATAAATGAGGCCTATGATTATTCAGATGCAAATCAAAATATAAAACCAGTCCTAATTGAAAGAGAACATGTTGACAAAACGATTGAATCCAAGATTGGGTGAAAATATGGTATAATGAGTGATTTATAAGGTTTTTTTTATGGCCCGGTCATTTTTGACCGGGAACACCACAGGTGTTATAGGGTTTTGAACACCACATGAGGGTTAAATCAAGATACATTTACTTGAGGTGCAAATGTTAAATGTCTTGAAAAATGTAACAAAATGAAGTGAGTTTATTCTTAAAACAAGAACAAATATCAATGAGTTATCAACTTCCCCTTTTTCTGAGACCTTTGACAGATATTTGATCTTGTTTTAATCATAAACACTTCATTTTGATCAATTTCACAGAAAACAAGACTTGTTGTTTTTACTTTTATTTTATGTTATTTTGTATCTCCAGTAAATACATCTTGATTTAAGAATCGTTAGACATTTGCACTGGAAAAAAACAAAAATACTGAGGAAGAACAGGTACAGTAAAAGTTATTTCCATATTCTAGTGGTTTTTTTTATTAAAAAGTAATGGATATCTGTTAGAAGTGTTATTTCCAAACTTTAAAATGTTACTAATGCAACTCATTTTGTTTCTCCCTAGACATTTATATTTAGAGAGCATATACTTATTGTGTTACATTCAATTTAATCTTTAAGTTTTCTTTACTTGATCTTAAAAGGTCTTAAATTGTGATAATGACAGGCTTACTGTACATTATCCCTTACACTTTTCAGGAAAAGGAAATACATTTTTTTTTTACAAACTGCAACTATATAAAGTATGGAAACTTCCGCTCTACGCAGGTTGTAGACTGTTTTCTTCTCTATTTCCATCTGTACCTGAATGCAGGGCAAAAAGTGTCAAACCTTGATGAGCTGGAATTGAATGTGTGTCGGAGAGGCATGGTGGTCAAGACCAATAAGAACGAGCAGGTCACCACCGATCTTGTCATCTGCTGCACAGGAAGTAAGATCAACTCTGAAGCATACAGGTCCAGTCTGAGTAAGTGCTTTTTACATGTAATAAATGGGCTAATAGTTGCTTGTGATTGTTGAGATAATGTGGAAATTCATCCTGTATGTTTTTATTTCTCAGACAAATTTCTTAAGACAAAGTATTTTAAAGAAATTTTCTTTTATTAAAAATATTAAAATATATGCAAATGAACTGCAAATTTCTACAGGTGGCATTTAAACATGATTTTAAACTAGGGCTGTCAAACGATTACTCGCGATTAATCGCATCCAAAATAAAAGTTTGTGTTTACATAATATATGTGTGTGTACTGTGTATAATTATTTTTAATACATTAGGGCTGTAGTCAACCAAAGAAATCCTTAGTCGACCAAAGTCCTGTCCTGCGCAACGATTAGTCGACTAAAAAAAAAAAAAAAAAAAAAAAGACGCGATGTTTTGATTGAACATTTTTTAACAATTGTCATAGAGCATTTATAAAACAACAACGAAAAAACATCACAAATACATAAAACTATAATAATAATAATACAATTCTTTGAAAATTAAGTGATTTTTTTTAACTGTAAAGTGAGGAGCACTGTCCTAGGTCTATAGTAACAGTCACAATCGCGCACCTGACCACACCACACGCTACACAAAATAACTGCTATCTGCCACATAATGAAACATCCTAACAAAAGCTCTCGTTTACAGGCTGTATATTGTTCTTTACTTGTCTTTCAAAGTTATGGGTAAACTTTTGTCCAGCCGATCTAGGAGTTTTAAAACAAACACACAAAAAAAACCAAAGAGCCTAAAAAACAATCCTAATAATAATAGGCTGTATTGTAGGACCGCATAGGTTTTTTTTTCGTTTTGTTACATTATTTAGGCTATTTTCAAATGCGTCAAGTGTACAAATAAAAACAAAAACATATCAAGAAAACACAATCTATTGAGTCAGCATGATAAACCCGTTAAAGGGCCTGCTCACGTCTTATGCGCACTCAAGTTCGATTTCAAATGTAGGCGCGCAGTGTGCGCGCTCATGATGGAAGCAACGCGGTCGCGGTGCGACGCGCTCTTTTTTTTCCAAGTGCGTCCACGCCGCATCGAGATAAAAACATAGTGTATAAAAACATAAAAACCGAAACAAGTAGCGTTCTAACTGAATGAATACAGCTAAACTACCTATATTCCTTACTGAGCGCGAAGCAGCAGCGCAGCCAGCCACAGGTGCGAACCGAGTGTTCTGTGTGTGTGCGCTAATCTGTGGCGCTGTTACAAAATAGCCTAAATTAAAGCATTTAAAGTTGGGGATAAACGATAGGCTAATTATATTTAGAATACAGTAATATATAACTGCTTATAAAGGAATAAATATCAAGGAGTAAATCATTGAAAATTTCTTTCTATTGGTAAAAAAAATGGAAAAAAAATGCACCTGGTCGACCAATAAGAATGTCTGTCGACCAAGACGGCATCGACCGATTAGTCGACTAAACGACTAAAGTTGACAGCCCTATAATACATAAATACCCACACATGCATGTGTATTTAAGAAATATTTGCATGTATATACTGTATATAGACTGAATGTAGCCTATATATAATGTATATTTTATATAAATATAAACATTTTATATATAAATAACATATTTTTCTTAAATATATACGTGTGCATTTATATACAAAATAATTATACACAGTACACACACATATATTATGTAAACACAAACTTTTATTTTGGATGCGATTAATCGTGATTAATCGTTTGACAGCCCTATTTTAAACATAATGTATTCTAATGTTTTTGGAATACCCCATATTTTGTGTGCATGATGGGTAATTCATACAGAAAGTTAATGTATTATTAAAAACTATACTTATATTATATGTGAATATGAATTCTGCACCCTTAAAGGAGAACTCCGGCGCAAAATGAACCTTTGGTCTAATTACACATTGTTACCTTGTCAACCGTTATCTGAGATTTGTTTTCATGATTATCGAATGTAGATAGTTTTATCTCTAAAAACAGTTTAGCCTATAAAGCTAGTATAACGCTAGTATATTGGGCATAGTGTAATGACAAATAAAAATCGCTTGTTAATACCACTAACAAGGCTCAAAATAGCCCCACACTAACACGGTAGCATAATGAGGGTCCTTACCTTCAAACCGAAGCATTGAGAACTTTGTCAGTGTCCAGACAGTTTAATAAGAAGATATTTTAAACATACAGTCAACTTCGCCTATACAGGCAGAAGCCATCTTTGAAATACAGTCTCTACCAGTCGATCTACGAACGCCGATCCAAGTGCGCTGGTGAGATGTGAACGAGCTATAAGTTGTGATAAGGTGAGCGCGAACAGTAGGCTTGGATCGGCGTTCGTAGATCGACTGGTAGAGACTGTTTTTCAAAGATGGCTCCTGCCTGTATACGCGAAGTTGACTGTATGTTTAAAATATCTTCTTCTTAAACTGTCTGGACACTGACAAAGTTCTCAATGCTTCGGTTTGAAGGTAGGGACCCTCATTATGCTACCGTGTTAGTGTGGGGCTATTTTGAGCCTTGTTAGTGGTATTAACAAGCGATTTTTATTTGTCATTACACTATGCCCAATATACTAGCGTTATACTAGCTTTATAGGCTAAACTGTTTTTAGAGATAAAACTATTTACATTCGATAATCATGAAAACAAATCTCAGATAACGGTTGACCAATGTGTAATTAGACCAAAGGTTCATTTTGCGCCGGAGTTCTCCTTTAAATCTTTTTGACTGATGCATAACCCTGGTTAGGATTGCGTGCTTGTGCAGTTCCTAAGCGTAGAACATTTTATATGTATGATATGCAAAATTTCACTCAATTCTTTGTTGACTTTTAGTAACATGCCGCCATATAGAGAGAGAATTAAATTCAGCAGTTTTATGGCTGTTTTATTTAATTCATATAAACGTACGTCTTTATTGAAACATGTCTTGATGAATTACGTGAGTCTGTGAGTGTCTCTATTTTTTTTGTGCCAAAATCCGCAAATAAAGCATATAACATATCTCAATTATGCATTAATGGCTGTTTAGTAAACTTGCGTAGGCCGTCTGCCAGAAGCTTGTTATTGTAGTCGATAAAGTTATAAATATGGATATTTGTCTTACACAAACGCATCGCTTCGCTTCAGAAGGCCTTTATTAACCCCCCCCCCCCCCCCGAGCCATGTGGAGTTCGTTTATGATGGATGAATGTTTTGGGCTTCAAATTTTGGCCTCCCATTCACTGCCCTTATAAAGCTTGGATTAGCAAGGACATTTTTTAATATAACTCCGATTGTATTTGTCTGAAAGAAAATGTCATGTACACCTAGGATGGCTTGAGGGTGAGTAAATCATGGGGTGACATTTTTGGGTGAATTATCCCTTAAAGGATTAGTTCACTTTTAAAAAAACTTTTGCTGATAATTTACTCACCCCTATGTCATCCAAGATGTCCATGTCTTTCTTTCTTCAGTCGAAAAGAAATTAAGGTTTTTGATGAAAACATTCCAGGATTTTTCTCCATATAATGGACTTCCATGGGAACCAGACGGTTCAAGGTCCAAAAGACAGTTTCAGTGCAGCTTCAAAGGGCTTTAAACGACACCAGACGATAAATAAAAGGGTCTTATCTAGCGAAACGATCGGTCATTTCAAAAATAAATAGAAAAGTTGAAGTTTAAAAAGCACAAATGATACACGTTCGTGACTCTCCTGTTTGAACTCGTTCATCAAAATGAACAAATCTTTTTTCGAGTCATTTCGTTCATTCAACGAACGAAATGACTCGAAAAAACATTCGTTCATTTTGATGAACGAGTTCGAACAGGAGAGTCACGAACGTGCATCACAGAACAGAGCAAGGCCAGCATTTTTGTGCTTTTTAAACTTCAACTTTTCTATTTATTTTTGAAATGGCCGATCGTTTCGCTAGATAAGACCCTTATTCATCGTCTGGTGTCGTTTAAAGCCCTTTGAAGCTGCACTGAAACTGTCTTTTGGACCTTGAACCGTCTGGTTCCCATGGAAGTCCATTATATGGAGAAAAATCCTGGAATGTTTTCATCAAAAACCTTAATTTCTTTTCGACTGAAGAAAGAAAGACATAGACATCTTGGATGACATGGAGGTGAGTAAATTATCAGCAAAAGTTTTTTTAAAAGTGAACTACTCCTTTAAATGGCAGTTTTGCACGCAATTCTCAAAACTCCCACAAGATGGTGCCATTTACATTTAATTCGATGTAACAAAACCAATACCCGATTATGGGAGAAATTTTATATCGGTAAAACCAATTATCCGGTCACTGAATAGATATTGTTTTTTGGATTTATTTTATTAAAAACTAATGCTTTTCAAACCCTGGTTACGATTGCGTACTTGTGCAGTTGCTAATCGTAGAAAATGTTTAATGTATGATATGCAAAATGTTATATCACTCAATTCTTTGTTGACTTTTAGTTACATGCCGTCATATAACCTCATTTAATTGGCTGATTTTTCATCATCTCTCTCTCTGTTTATGTTCTTATTTCAGCCGCATCTCTGACAGAGGCTGGTGCTCTGAAGGTGAACAAGCACTTGCAAGTAGAAGGCTTTAACAACGTGTATGGTGTGGGTGACTGTGCCAATGTCAATGAACCCAAGTTGGCGTATCATGCTGGACTTCATGCTGGAGTAGCTGCCACCAATATCATCAACAGTCTGTCAGGAAAACCTTTAACCTCATACCACACAGGTAACAACCATAAGCCAATGATTTTGCTTCAGCTGTCTTTTGTGAACTCACTTTTAAAAAGTTCATTTCTTACAGTTCTTTTACAATGCATACAATTCAGACTGCTTTCTCGATGAGTTGTTTATTATTATTATTATTATTTATCAATTTATGTCCATATCCTGTTCCCATTCAGGAAATGTGACTATGCTGATTGCTATGGGTAAGGATGCTGGAGTAGGCCAGTTTAATGGCTATAAACTACCTCGCTTTCTGGTCACTAAGGGTAAGAGCCAAGGCTTGCTGCTGTGGAAGAGCTGGAGGGAAATGGGGCAAAAAGCCCCTAATTAACACCAGGCTGACAGTGTACACTAAAATATGTATGAACTATGGTCTCACATGGTTCCATTTATCACTTCAATTTTAACTGAATGATTTTTACATTTATCACTGTTTAAAATAAACTAGACCAGCAGAAAGATGCTTTATATTGTAATAATTACCAACATAATGTATACTTATACTTGTATAGCATCATATATTGTTTGTAATACTTTTGAGAACAATCAAAAGCATTGTTTTATACATTTATACAGTTGTTAAAGAAATAAATCCATTTACATTCACAATACAGTTTGCCATTGTCACTCTTCGTCGATAGCGGTTTGTTCTCATATCTTCCTGCATTTAGCATGTGTCTGATGAACTGCTCCACTAGAGGGCAATGAAACGATATGAATCAAATCATTGTATCCTGGTCAACACAATAAGATGCTGAGTCACTGAATAGATAGGTTTTTTTGGGGGGTGGCGGGGAATTCTTTCATTTAAAGCTTATGCGTTTCAAAAACAGTCCAAAACTGCACAACACGGTTTTCTTTAAATTATTTATGCACAGTCAATGCCTTTGCTAATGTGGTTCGAGTGATTCACTCAGTGAAGTAAATCAAATTAGCCAAAAACATTAAAAAAAATTGTTAAACTTGTCAACTCAGGGTTGTGAAAGTGCAGTGTGTGATTTCTGCTCCTCTAGCAGCACCTATGAATTACTGTCTGTTTGATTCAACGACTCGCTACATAATTGTCACATGACCTCACCGTGTCATCGTGTGTTTGCATGGTGACTGGGAAGGCTGCTGGCATTTGGTGTTCATGAAACTCTTGAATTATTATCCTGAACCCAAGGTATTGTGTTTTTTATGTCAGGTTACACATCTTTGCACGTTGGCCTTGGATACAAGTGGTCTTTAAATGGCAATACTGCCATAAATTCCAACTTTGTGAAGTCGCGACCCACAGTTTGTGTTGAGTCTGGGTCACACAGGCACTGACTCAATTCAGATGTTGTTTAGAGGCTGTAGTTTTGTGGCATTCAGCCACTATCCTGTGGGATGTTGCTCTACTCATCAACTTGTAGCCACTGTTCATCTTTGTTAATGCAGTTCATGTTTGTCATCTGTCATTGCAGTGTTTGAGACCAACAACTAGTAATGATGTTTTATATTGTTTTAGCATGTTTTTTTTAAAAGGTTAGTTCACCCAAAAATGAAAATTCTGTCATCATTTACATTCCAAACCCAAAAGACTTGCGTACGTCTTCGAAACAGATATTTTTGTCCCTCCACTGAAAGTCCATTCAACTTAAAGTTCATAAAGACATTGTGAAAGCAATCCATTTGAATCGAGCAGCATAATCCAAGTCTTCTGAAGAGACACAATCACTTTATACTATAAACAGATTTTTAAAGGCTTTTATTAACTTGGAAAACGTTGATGTTTCCATCTTTTAGCTTTTGTTTAGACTAAAACCATAGCACTTCAGTACTAATACTTTTCAAGTAGTATTGGTGGTTATTTGCTTTGAGGCTTTTTATGAGAGTTATGATATCATTCAATTGATAGAGCATTCAGTGTATCTGCACTAAGCTACACTGTATACATTAATCATTAAATTAAAGACTTAATTGTTAAATAGAGGCAGCAGTGTGTGTTTAATTTCTAACAAGTATCCACACAAATGGTCTGACGCCATAATCTCCCTGATGATATTTTTGTTTTTGTAATACAACTTTGCACTGATGTGTCTCATTAAAAATGTATATGCAAGAGAGCCATTTGAATGCATATATTGGTGTCGTGGGACTGGGATTATTGCAGTTATAAGGCTCAAAAAACATTGCAAAATGACATTAGGGAAAAGCATAATGTCTTGTCTCTGGTCAATCAAAAAGCAATGAATGATATTAGGTGACGGACAATTGAATTATTTTACTGTAAAGGGAGACAGGTATAAATGCATTCATCAATCCTCATCAGATAAATCTGATGTTTGAATAAGCGGAGTCAGATTGTCCACTGCGTTCCCTCTTGCTTTGTCTTTATTTTATTCATTCCCAGCCAGAATTAATCTGGCAGACTCTATCTACAAGAATCAAATGGTCAAGACAAGTTCCTCTGTAAAAAAATATATACCTGCTTTAATATCATATCGACACCTGTGGAAAAAAACTAATTTAGCGACGTGACTTAAAGAAGTCGTTATGATTTTTATGACATCGTTCTGACCTCTCTCCAGAAGACATGAGCTCATCTTGTGGCTAAAGTTACAGTGAACAACACATCGCATAACCTCGAGCATCCTGGGTTTCCCCCAGGCAAACATCTCTCTACCCTCCCCTCACCAATTCAATTAGCTCTAAAAATGAATTATGCTCAGCTAATTTACAACGCTGTATTAATCATTAGCTTCACTTTTCTCTCTACACTAATATTTTCAGTTGTCCTCAGGTTTACTGCAAACCATTCAATTAAACGTTTCCCATGGTATGTCAGGGAGCTAGTATGAATGGCCTTATTGTGCTCAGTTAAATAGCTATATGTTGTTTTACACAATGTACATCACTATATTCTAGTGTACATTTGGAATTACCTTAAGAAAACCCTCATTAACTAGATTAAATTGTTTGTAATTTAACAATTTCCCTCTCTCCGGCTCTAATTTCCAAAACAAACCAAGTATTCCAAGCATGCTAACCTTGTTCTCAAAGTTCATGGAAAACGAGTCAACAGTGGATTGATTCAACTTTTACTTAATCGTTAATTCTGTCAGTGCAGTCACAGGACAGTAACGGTATATTTTTTGTCAGTGATTTGGTCAGAACTTTTTTATACCCACACATATTTATGGGGGATTTAGGGGCTGTTTACACAACATCATTTTCAACTAAAAACGGAAAACTTTTTGTGTTTTGGCCGTTCATTTACACGGTTTAGTGGCAATGAAAATGCAAACTTTTCAAAACAGGTTTCAAAATTTACGTTTTTGAAACCAATACTGTTATTGCTCTGTGTAAACTATAAAAACGTGATTCTGTGAAAACAGTGACTGCATGCACATGCGTACTATACGTGTTTAGTGTTTAATAGTGTTTTGTGCATGCTCCCACAACATGGCTTCTTACCTACCGGCTAGCGTCACATTAGAAGGAAGTACGTCATCGTATTTACTTCCGCGCATTTCTTTCTTTACAAAGTGACATAAACAACTACTTGTCTGGCTTACATAATACCAACGGCATCTCACGACCAATTCGTACGAGTGAGTACGAGGTACGACGTTCAGAGATGCTCTTCTGCAGACCTCAGTTGTAACGAGTGTTTGTTTGAGTTACTGTTGCCTTTCTATTAGCTGAAACCAGTCTGGCCATTCTCCTCTGACCTCTGGCATCAACAAGCCCACAGAACAGCCGCTTACTGGATGTTTTTCTTTTTTTTCTGACCATTCTCTGTAAACCCTAAAGATGGTTGTGCGTGAAAATCCCAGTAGGTTAGATCAGCAGGTTCTGAAAGACTATTTCACATAAAAAGTGGATCACGGTGGGTAATTAGAACCAGGTGAAGCACTGTCAACTATAGTGCAGCACAAAGTAGTTGAGTACTTTTGGTCTCAAAGGATCTCACAAATGGATGTTGCATGCAGGCCATCAGTATGCATACTCTCAGTACTTCCAACAAAAGTTGCAGATTCTGCAAAAACGTGCAACGTCTTCCAAATGCAGCAATGGAGTATCAGTTTCATACAGAAACAGCAGCATTATTTTTAGATGATGCACTGGACATGTAGAGAACTGAGTCTGAATGGGAAAAACTATATGCCAAATAATGTAAAACAAATGAATAGATTAGGAAAAGGTACCAAACAAAATACCAAATAAGATCATTTGTCTTTGTGATTTTTTTTATCTACTCTGAAATGACTTTCAGCTGATTGAACATTTTCAGCCCCTTCCTTTCAATCCCCTGTTTTCAATATAGTAAAACATCACTTTTTTTATCGTCCAATTACCTCCTGATGTACTTAAGATTTAAACATGCGATAATCGTGTTGATGTGATAACCATGATGTTAATCATGTGATGTCTATAACTTGTCCTTTATGCCGGATTTAATTGAACCAGAAATAGGGTTACATGTTGACAGCATGTTATACCGGTATATCAGAGGTCGTCAAGCCTGGAGAGCAACCTTCCTGCAGACTTCAGTTCCAACCCTGCTTTAACACACCCTGCCTGTATAACTTTCAAGTAACACCCTGATTAGCTGCTTCAAGTATGTTTCTTTGGGGTTGGAGCTGAACTCTGCAGGATGGTAGTTCTCCAGAAGAAGGATTGGGTTGGTTACGGGAACATGTTTCAAACTACCATGCTCTTAAAATGATTTTCCACATCAGATATCCTTTGTGAAAAAAAGTAGTGCACTTAATTTGATTGAATGAGCACTTGTAGTGTACTTCAAATTTTAAAAGTATATTTTTGAAAACATACTGGCGGATAAGATAATATAATATTAATGAAATGAAATAAATGGCCACTTAAGCGTAGTTAAAGAGAGTACAGTTCCATTACAATTTTTTTTTAGTACTATTATCAAGTCTACTAAGGGAGGCTTTTTTGTATTTGGCTCCTAAACTCTGGAATAGACTTCTTGATAAAGTACGGAGACCAGACACACTCTCTCTCTGTTTAAATATACATTAAAGACACACCTCTTTAGCCAAGCATTCACATAATGCTTATCATAAACGTCTACTACAATCATTATTTGATGTAATAGTACCAAATAGGTATACACTCACCTGAAGGATTATTAGGAACACCTGTTCAATTTCTCATTAATGCAATTATCTAATCAACCAATCACATGGCAGTTGCTTCAATGCATTTAGGGGTGTTGTCCTGGTCAAGACAATCTCCTGAACTCCAAACTGAATGTCAGAATGGGAAAGAACGGTGATTTAAGCAATTTTGAGCGTGGCATGGTTGTTGGTGCCAGACGGGCCGGTCTGAGTATTTCACAATCTGCTCAGTTACTGGGATTTTCACGCACAACCATTTCTAGGGTTTAC